GAAGCATTTTCAAAATTAAAGGCCCTTCATTTGACAGATGAGGAAACTGAGCCCCCAGGAAGTGATGGGACTTATCCCAAAGTCACGTGACAAAATAAAGCGCACATCTAGGATTTGAACTCAGGTCTCCTGACTCCAGAACCAGTGTTTGCTATACATGAGCCATCTTCTCTAATGAATCAGTGCCCCATTTTAATAGAGTCCATAATTATCTTGTTCATTGGGACAGAAATATTTCCATGGAATCAGTGAAGATTCTCATATGTTGATGGATATCCACTCTAAGTTATCTTCCCGACTGCCTTTCTCTGCTCCTGATTTGCATTTTAATTTAAGAGCTTAAATCTCATTAATACTGGAAGGCTCATGGATGTCATGAGTGTGGGTACTTCCTACACCAATGGAAGCAGCATCCCCTCTTATTAAGTCTTGCTTAAAATGAAGGGGACAATTTACACTTAATTTGGACATAGCCTAATGAAAAGATAGCCAGACTTTATCAAATTTTTCATACAACCCACAGAAGGACATGGAATTCAGGTCATCTTTACTTGATAAAAATTCAGATGGGAAGACCCTTCCCTGCCATGGAGTTAGCCCACAGAGCTACTGAGTGGACTAGGGTATCCAGAGGAGAGTGGACTGAAAGGATAGCCATTGTCCATGTCACTTGACTTCTCTGTGACTCAGTCTCCTTCCCTGTAAGATGAAAAGTGTCGAATTCAAAAGTATCTGGGTTCTCTTCTGGGTCTAAACCTCAGATCTTATGCCTGAGAATTGCATTGTGTTGCTCTTGCCCTCACTGGGAACTGATGAGAACACATTTACAAAAATTTCCCAGGATGAGAAGGTGTTGATCACAGTCCAACGGATTGTACTGAAATTGATGAGTGATCGCCATGTCTGTTTAGATGAATATATAATAAAAGAACTCAAAACCACCAAACATTTCACTCTGATAAAAAGGGAACATTCAATGGAAATCATGTTGGGAGCTTCACTGACAGAAAGCATGGACCCTGGAGCTATTGAGTATTAAAGATGATGCTGTTATTTTACTTATGGAATAATTTCTTCAGCCCTTACTAAGTTTCCTTCTTTTGCATCTTTTCTCAGAAAGAATAAAGTATCAGTGGATAGAGCACCGGCCCTGGATTCAGGAGGACCTGAGTTCAAATCTGGTCTCAGACACATAACACTTACTAGCTGTGTGACCCTGGGCAAGTCACTTAACCCCATTGCCTAACCAAAAAAAAAATAGAGAAAATAAAGAAAGAATAAAGTATCTTTGCCATCTTGCCTAAGAGCCTGATGGCCAATACTGGAGAACCTGGATTTTGGGGGTCCCAAGGGCAGCCATATTTCCTGGCCCTTCACACACTCGTTGCTCAGAAAGTGTATTTGCTGGGCTCATTTAATCAAGTTCCATGTGTAAAGGCAGGCTTGTACAGCCCCTACATTCCCCAGCCTCTCGTTTGCCTCAAGAGACCATTGTTCGTGTTGCTGAATCTGGTGGGAAGAGAGACATGTTGATTACAGGCCAACAAATTTTGCTGAAATTGATGAGTGATCGCCATGTCTGTTTAGAGGAATACATAATAAAAGAATTCAAAACCACCAAACATTTCACTCTGATAAAAAGGGAACATTCAACGGAAAAAAAAAATTTCTCCCCATAATGCACTGGTTCTCATGAGAGCTTCAATTTTCTGTGTGCCAAACCTAGAGGAATTTTATGAAATGTGGTTTTGAAATGTGCTTTGAAATAAATTTCTGTTCATGAAATAGACTGCCAACCGTCAGACTGATAACCACATGCCTGAACTCTAAAAGGGTCCAACTCTACTCCAAGATTCATTTTTCAATGAAAATGCACACCCACTTTATTAGCCACCAAGATAGGTCTGGCTCTAATCAATACCATGGCACTGGAGGGAATTCTAATGAACACAAACAAGGCAGTGAACACCCCAGGCTTCCTCCAGGGGGAAAGGACATGGAGCTTCCTTTTTCATTTTGTTTCAAGAAACTTAACAATCTCTCATCTCATTTAAGTAAAAAGGAAAAAAAATCAGATTTAGTCATCTCAATTCCCAAAGACAGCTAGGTATTTCAGCTACAGAACCCTGTACCAAACACTGGTTGGGGGAGGCAATGTGATGTGTTATTAACATCCATGGAGTCAGAGGCTGGTATGCCAGGCTTGCCCCTTCACTTCAAGGAGGGTAGGGATGGTTCCACAGGCCCTCATCCTGGTCAGGCAAATCTGCAGGACTGAGGAAGTACCCTGACAAGTAGGAGTGGGTCCAGAGCAAGGTGACCAGCATAGTGACTAGCTTAGGAATCGTGGTGTTTGAGGACTGCATGAGGGATACACAGATCTTTATCTGCAGAACAGAAGACTGGGGGGATGGGGACATGAAAGCTATCTTCAAGTATTTGGGAGGCTGTCCTGTGGAGGAGGGGGACTTGTCTGGTTGGCCCCAGAGGGCATAGACAGGAGCAACAGGGGTAGGGGAAGCATAATAAGGCATGTTTAAATTTCCTAAAAATCAGACCTCCCCCCAAATGGTGGGATCCCTCTCACCATGTGGACAATGGACAAGGCAGCCACCAAGCTACCCTCCTGTGCAGGGAATCCATGATAACATCAGTGCATAAACACATAAAATATCTATTATGTTCCAGGCACTACGCTAGGGGCTGAGGGGTCAAAGATGAAAAGTGATCCAGTTCTGCCCTCATGGAGCTTATAGTCTAACAGAGAGGAGACATGTAGCGAGATGAATGAGGGTGAAGCCAGGTAGATAATGACAAAGTCAAGGAAAGAGCTTTCAGAAAATCTGAAGGGGAGAGCACTTTCAGCTGGAGATCCCAAAGGCAAGAGGGAAGATGGCCCATGAGCTGGGCCTAGGAAGAACAGAAGGAAGCCAATGGGAGGAGGATGTGCAGGAACAGAGGATCACTCCCTCTGGCTGGAATGCAGCACAGAGTCAGCTGGGTGGGTGGGGACACTCGGCAGGCAGAATGTGGGGGCTCTTCAGTGGGAGACCATAGAGCTTTGATTCTGTCCTGGAGCCAATAGAGAGACAGTGAAAATTCTGTAGCAGAGAGTGGGAGAGTCAGATTAGATAACCCTAAATTAGGGAGATTGATTTGGTAGCCATGTGAAGGAAGAGTAGATTGAAAGAAGGAGGGATTGCAGTACCATGGAGGGCCTCAGAGGCTGCCTAGCCAATTTTACAGGTGAGAAAACTGGGGCTCAGAGAGCAAAGTCTCAGAACTAGGAACAGGCAGGGCCTCAATGAATCCCCTACTTCTCTGACTGGGGTTTTCCTCAGCTATGCCACCAAAGGTGAAGCAAGTAGGAGGGGTGCAGGGGGAATCCTGCTGATGGGGACCAACCTCGTCATCTCGGCATCTGTGTTCATCTGTGGCTGAGTCCACTAGCCACCTTAAAGCGGAATGGGCCTGGAATTCAGGAACCTTCCTTCTCCAGACACAGCCAGGAATCATCACCTCCCAGCTCAGTGGTCACAAGCTCACCTTCCATCCACTCTGCATCCATCCATCCATTCATCCATCCATCCATCCATCCATCCATCCATTATTCCACCCATTTTATGCTGTCAATGCCATTGAGATGCAGGCTCCTTGAGGCAGGACAGCATTTAGCTAGCACAGGACCTGGCACATTGTCAGTCCTTGAGAAATGCTTCTTAATTGACTCTTCACAACAACATTGGGTAATAGGCATAAGCGTTGGCCATGGCATATCATTAGAGAGGGCTATCAGACCAGAAAGGGAGGTGAGGTGATCATTTAGAGGAGTGAGGGATGATGGGAAGAGAGGCTTAGAAGGCCCTTAGCAGATGGAGTGGACCCCTGGGGAAGATTTACAGGGGGAGCCTGACTGGAATTTCACAGCTTGAGGTGGGTATTGGCTGCAATCTGCAGAAGTGGAGACAGTGTGTACATCAGGGAGATCTCAGATCCACCCCAGGTCTGGAGACAAGACCGTGTATTTGCATATGATTTTCATTTGACTAAACTAAATTGGCATGCTGAAATCTGATTAAGGCTTACCTAAAGATTCTGTTTGTATTACTTCTCATCCACCCAGAACTCTGGATGCCTTGGACCAGAAGAATGTGCCAGATAGAAAGGAGACACCTCACTGGAGGATGGAATGACCATGACCAAGAAGCGTATCTGCCAAGAATGGGGCACAGGCTGAAAACAGAGCCACACCTGAGGATGTGAGAGTCATGCTGGGTCTTCCCCCAGCCCTGCCCCCACTTCAGCATGAGCAAGGCACCAGGACCCTTGGCAGCCAGTCACGCTCCTGCTGATTGGGCTAGGTCCTCAGAAGAAGCTGAAGGGCCAGGAGGATGGTGCAGCCCCACTGAGAGCTACAGATAGAGAGAATGGATGGACTCCTGGCTCCACCCTGAAGCATGTGATCCAGTGTCCAACATGAGGAGGGAAGGAAGACCTACTTGCACAATCAAGGGTCATGAGACCTGTCTGTGAGACCTCATCCCTCTTAGAATGGGAAAATAGCATGTCCTGACCCAAAGGGAAATTGACTCTGATGAAAGGACTCATATACATGCTATTCTGCTGACAGGCAGCAATGGCGACCGTGAACCAAGAAGGGGCACATTAAAGCATGTGCGCACGCTCATGCGCGTTGCGCGTGCACACACACACACACACACACACACACACTTTCACACAATCCTACTCATCCAAGAAGAAATTAGCACAATTAACAAGGCACAGCTGGCTGCAATCACTTAGCTTCTCTTCTTTCAGGGAAGCCCAAAGATCAAACTCTCCCACTCATTCTCTTCCTATGGAAAGGAGGACATGGCCCCTCTCTCCCATGGCCAACAAGCAAGCTCATCAACCAGCCAAAGGCTCTTCCAATGGCTCTTGGCTCTTTCATGGGCAGACACTGCACCCCCACCCCTTTGGCTGCACCCCTCCCTCCTTGCCTTGTTGAAGTCTTCTGAAGTTGCCCTCATCTCCTTCCATGTCTTGTTCAGCAGCTGGATGCAGATGCAAAAGAATTCCTCAAAGGACCGGTCGTGGGTGAAGAACATGGGGTGAAAGTCATTGCAGGTTTCACTGGCTGTAGAGAGAAAGTTGAGAGAGGGAAGAATCCGGTTAGAGCAGGGCAGTGATGACGAAGCACCCAGTGCAGGTGTCCTCGGAAACAGCCATGGGCTCTGGCACGTGCATCCATAGGCACTCCATGAAATTAGGGCCAGAAGAACAAGCCCCTGGACCATCAATCCCTCTATCCAACCACCAGTCAATGGCCATTGATTAAACTCTTACAAGGGACTGAGCCAAGCTCTGGAGACACAAAGGGAGCAGAGAACCAGTCCCTGCCCTGAAGGAGCTTACATTCTATCAAGGAAGAGAAAGGTCCATAGAAAAGCAGGAGCAAGGCTGCTCCCTGAAGATCTTAGGCTGCTAATCTTGACCTTCATTCACTTCAGCTGAACAAGATGCTCAGCCCAGGGAAGACACATTCCAAGGGTTTCTACTTCCACCACTTTCCCACCCCTTGCAGTTGACTCCTAAGGGTTAATTGAAGCACAGCATTAGAACACCACCAATTTCCTTCTAAGCTGATGGTGCCCGGGGGCAGCAAAGCCTTGAAAATTAACGTGCAGCTCGTGGCTATCCTGTGGGCCTCCATGCGTTTAATGAACATGCACTCCCTTCACATCCTCATCTGCCTCTTTTTTAATAATGCTGAAGCTTTAATCTCTCAGAGATAGAGAGTTACCCTCCTGGGCAGACCCCCTCCATCATCACCAGCTTCCCCCATGTTAGCTAAATGATTGACTTTCCCCTTTTGTAGAATTAATTATGCTTTTGCAAATGGCCTCCATAATTATTTCTCCCCCATTTTCCTCCTCTTTCTGTCCCTGAGTTGGCAGTTGGGGGCAGGGGAGAAGGAAGGGGAGGATGACACCTTTCTTATGAGCCATCTGATGCCATTAACCATTTATTCTTCAGGCCCAGTTAACAGACGTCCGGAGCCCTTCCTCCTCTTTCCCTGGGCCCTTCTCCTCTCATCCTGGGTCTCCCTTCTCAAGCTGCTGCCAACATTACACATCTCTCTCTGAGCTCCAATCTCATGGCCAGCCTCCTCGGGACCCCCCCAACCCCTTACCTGGACTGTGGCAAAAGCCTCCACATTGTCTCCCTGCCTCGGGTCTCTGCCCATTCTAATCTACCCTCCACACAGCTGCCAAAGCAATTGGCCTAAAGCTCAGGCCTTTGAGCATCCTCTGCTGACCTTTCTCTGTGTTGGACTTCCTTTATTTCTGTAGGCGGTCATTCCCTATGTAGCCCCTCCCTCCCCCACATGCCCTGTAGAATGTTCACATACTCCTAAGTCTACACCTGGAAAGGACCTCTGGACCTTTTGGGCCCAGCCCCTTCCCCCTCCCAATTGTGCGATGAAGCATTGGAGGGATGTGGTTTCTGGAGAGCTGGGACTGTTTCTGCCACAGCCCCTCAAGCTCTACTTGTTGCTTAGTAGGCATTTAATAATTCTTTGCTCACCTGAAGCACTGTCAGGCCACGCCTACTCTATTGACTTCTTAAGCACAGAATTTCCCCATGCCAGGTGCTCAGCATGGTCCCAGTAAGTGCTGCCCAAGGAACGAATGAATTTCAGATGAATGCTATCTCCTTTTACTTTTGAATTACTCATGTATGAATACAACAGCCTAAGGGCCCTTAAATAATCAGCTCCCTTCAACCCAATAATACCAGCTTGGCTATTTCCACAGACAACAACTTCTGAAGAGATCAAAGGGTTTGGGAGAATATACCTAGAGGTTGCTGTAGGGTAAGCTGAAGGCAGAGATGAGCAGCAGAGTTTGCTGGGAACCCCCATCCCCCTTCCCAAAAGGGTGCCAGGTTGACACACAGAGTTTGAGAAGCATGCAAGATGGAGGAGGAGGAAGATGCAAGAGGCTGGAATCCCCATGGCTGACAGAACCCAGGAGAAGAAACTTCAGGGGGAGGAGAGCATCCCAGATGGGAATCCTGGAGCTGGTCAAGGCTCCTCTGGATGGCCCAATAGGCCAATGGAGTGCTCAGTTAAAGGGGAAGGCGGGACCAGGGACCAAGGTCCACAGGAGCAGCTCCGAAGCTGGAGGGTCAGTGTCAAGTATGCCTGGGTGAGCATTCCCCCCCCTGCCCTGGGGAAGTTACAGGGTCATAAATTGAGAGCTAGAAGGGCCTTCAAGGTCATCTAGCCAAGCAACTTCATTTTACAGATGAGGAAACTGAGACCCAGAGAACTTAAGCGACTCCTCAAGATCATACAGGGAACAAGTAGCAAAGCTGGGTCCCATGACCCCAGATCTGAGGCTCTTTGAACACATGAAATTGCCCCCTTGTCTGCTTTACACCATTTTGCTGCCTAAGATGACACATTTTTATGGCCCTGGAATGCCAGCTGAGCTGCCATTGTTCCAGGACTGAAGGCCCAAGTGATGAGCACGGACTTCCTGAGTCTCGGTTTTCTTCTCTAACAAGTGTGTATGTGGCGGGTGTGGTTAAAGGATTTGAGTCCCTTTCAGCTCCGCCATTTGGAGCCTCCAAAAGTCAGGATGAGCAAGCCTGCCCATCCTGACACCACATTTCTAGGAGAAGCCAGTGGAATGATGTCCACAAAAGGCATTTGACCAGGAGGTGCCAGACAAGTGGAAGCTGAGGTGATGGAGGAAGAGGAGGAGGAGGAGCAGCTCTGAGAGCACCAGTAATCAAATGGCCAAAAGTGGCCTCCCCCCAGCGTCTAATCCATCTGTTCCCATCTCAGAAACCATGGACAGGAAGACCCTGCTGACACTGTGGATGCTCTCAGGCAGGCGGCAGCCGTGGAGTCGGGGACTTTCAGAACTGCTGACCTGCAACACCTACGGCTATTTAGGGAGCCCAGAGCTCAAGGCTGCAGGCGCAGCGCTGTCAGTCACACTTCCATAAACACCAAATTTATAAGACCCCAGGAAAAGCCCTTAAAATCCTATTACCATCTGAGGGCCTGGTATTAATTACAGGATTACAGCCTCTTTTCCTGGTTCAGCAGGAACACAGTAAGTAACTTGCTCTTTCTGTGGGAGGGCTGCTGTAAAGAGACTGACTCAAGATTTATGTGCCTAGCACAGGGTAGGAGGCTGACTAGACGAGACACCAGAAGGACAAGTTCAGTGGGTAACAGGAAGGGAGGTAAGGCACTCCATCTCAAGGCCACTGTCACCAGCAGGAGCCCAGATCTTTGGGTGGGGGCCAGGAAGTCTGAAAACCTCTCTCTCTCTCTCTCTCTCTCTCTCTCTCTCTCTCTCTCTCTCTCTGTCACACACACACACACACACACACACACACACATACACAAACACACACACACACACACACACATTTGGAGATCATCCCAGCATAATTGACTCACACCCAGGCCTTCTGTCTATGTAGACTCCTTTTAATTTCCCTACTAACAGGAACATTAACTCTCTTAGGAGTTACATATATCATCTTCTCACATAAGAATGTAAATTTAACTTTATTGAGTCCCACATGATTACTCTTCCATGTTTACCTTTTTGTGCTTCTCAAGTCTTCTTTTGAATGTTAGATTTTCTATTCAGCTCTGGTCATTTCATCAGAAATGCTTGTAAATCCTCTATTTCATTAAATACCCATTTTTTTCTCCTTAAAGATTATATTCAGTTTTGCTGGGTAGGCTATTCTTGGTTGTAATCCTTCTGAAACATCATGTTCCAAGCCCTCCACTCTTTTAATATGGAAGCTGCTAAATCTTGTGTGATTCTGACTGTGGCTCCACGACATTTGAACTCTTTCTTCTGGCTGCTTATTTTCTCTTTGACCTGGGAGCTCTGCAGTTTGGCTATTATTCCTAGGAGTTTCATTTTGGGCTCTCTTTCAGGGGGTGATTGGTGGATTCTTTCAATTCCTATTTTACCTTCTGGATGTAAGATATCAGGGCAATTTTCCTTGATAATTTCTTGAAATATGATGTCTAGGCTCTTTTTTGATCATGGCTTTCAGGTAGTCTAATAATTCTTAAATTATCTCTCTTTGATCTGTTTTCCAGCTTAATTTTCCCCCAATAATAGTTCACATTTTCTACAACTTTTTTTATTCTTTTGACTTTGTTTTATTGTTTCTTGAAGTCTCATGGAGTCATTAGTTTCTACTTGCCCAATTCTAATTTTTTTAAATAATTTATTTAGTTTTCGTTTTCAACATTCACTTCCATAAGATTTTGAGTCTTAAGTTTTCTCTCTCTCCCTTTCCTCCCCTCTCCTCAAGATGGCACGTAATCTGATATAAGCTCAACTTATACTTTCACAGTAAGCATATTTTCACATTAGTCATGATGTATAGAAGAATTAGAATTAATGGGAGGAACCATGAGAAAGAAGAAATAAAACAAGGAACAAAAGAAAAGGAGAGCAAAGAGTATGCTTCCATCCACATTCAGACTCCATGGTTCTTTCTCTTAATGTGCATAGCATTTTTCATCAGGAGTCTTTTGGAGTTGTCTTAGATCCTTGCATTGCTAAGAAGAGCTAAGTCTATCAAAGTTAGTCATTGCACAATGTGGCTGTTACTGTGTACAATGTTCTCCTGGTTCTGCTCATTTCACTCTGCATCAGTTCATATAAGTCTTTCCAGGTTTTTCTGAAGTCTGTCTGCTCATCATTTCTTATAGCACAATAGCATTCCATTACATTCTCATACCACTCAATAACAAAACTAACAGAAATTATACAATTATCTCAATAGACACAGAAAAAGCATTTGATAAAATACCACACCCATTCCTATTAAAAACACTAGAGAGCATAGGAATAAATTGAGTCTTCCTTAAAATGATAGGTAGCATCTATCTAAAACCATCAGCAAACAATATATGTAATGGGGATAAGCTAGAAGCATTTCCAATAAAATCAGGGGTGAAACAAAGATGTCTATTATCAACACTGTTATTCAATACTGTACTAGAAATGTTAGCTTTAGCACTAAGAGAAGACAAAGAAATTGAAGGAATTAGAATTAGGCAAAGAAGAAACAAAGCTATCA